ATGTTTTGGGGTGGGGCGGATGCTTCTGGATGTGGGTTTTGGCACTCCCTGGCTGCCCCCGAGCCTGCAGCAGGGCAGCAGCCAGCGGCATGGGTGGGCAGGTGGCTGGAGATAAACCAGCGGCCACATGCAAGAAAACTGGTGCGGGGCCTGAGCCGGGGGATTGAAACTGCTCCCCAAAACCACACCGTGCACGGCGGACTGCCGCACAGCGCTCTCGAGGCGGGGGCCCGCAGCACAGCCTCTCCAGCCCCCGGGCTTCCTCTCCTTCGGCTACTGGGGTTCCTGTCGGTCTTTTCTCACTCGCTTGTAACTAGCAGTTGGTGTGAATTGCTTTTTTTTTTTAATTTATTTTCCTTTCCTCCAACCCCCCTTTAAAAAGTAAAAGGCGGCAGCGGGTTGTTGTGGGGGCACCTGGCAGTGCTGCTTCGGGGGTGTGAGCGTGGAGGAGGAGGAGGAGGGAGGTGTGCCAGCCCGGCGTCCGTCTGGGCACCTGTGTGCATGGACCTGCAGCCACATGCTGCGTTGCTGGGTGGGAGGAGAGACGAAGAGGGGAACAAAAGTCCAGGCTTTGGAAGGAGGATGTGCTGGGAAGAAACTCCTTGGTGGCAGAAGCATGGCTTGGGAGAGTCCCAAATGTGGTGGCAGGCACCTGATGTTTGGGATTGAGAAGGGCTGGCAACCTTGTCACAAAATGCAGCCGTGCTCCCCTTACGGACTCTGTCTCCTTTCCCGCCGCCTCATCTGCTATGGCTCTGCCAGTCCTCACTCAGCCTGCGTCAGCTCCTTGTACAAAGCCTTCCATAGCATCTCCTGCACAAACTCCTAAAAAAACAGAAAAAGTAATTACCGAACGCTGTAAGTTGCATTGTTTGTTTCTGGTTTTCCTTAACATCCCAGTGGTCTACGAGCAGATGTCACCTGTGCTGTGCAATGGGAGATCGAACCGCGCAGGTACTTGCATAGGAGCACGTGGTGAGCAAGAGAAAGTGCGAACTTCCTAGTTGTTATTCCTTCACAGCGTGCTTCTCTCCCGAGCAAGAGCACCACTTTGACCTCATCCTTAAGCCCTTGTGTATTTGTGTACCTAGATGTCAGCTTGTGACTCAACTCCTTTTTGATGCCTGGAGAGAGAGAGAGAGAGAGGTGCTGTTTGTCTGAGCCACACTTCAGCAGTAAGCTTGACATCATTTACAATGCAACGTAACTGTATTCCCCGCCGGCCTGTGACTTGGCATTAGCTGTGCCGCGTGCCTGTATTTAGACACCTGGCTTTAAAACCCTGCTGTATTTTACTGCTGAAATTTGCACTGGTAAAACACTGGTATACAAATATTGAAAAGATGCTGTGCGACTCGCAGTAGGCTCCGGGCAGTCGGCGAGGTTAACAAAGTGGGAATTATCAGCAAAACATTTATTTGTGTGGGCTTTGCTCTGCGTGAGGCAGGTGAGTGTGACTGCTGCTGCAAGCCTGCCAGGCCTGGCTCTGCCCAGCTCCCATCACCGGCCCCCATCCACTGCAGCGGTGCAACCTTGGCCTCAGCCACCCCCAAACCATGGCTCAGGGCTGCTGAGGGGCAGAGAGTACCTTTTGGTGGTGCCTAAGGGACTGGCCTTCTGTTTGTGCGTGTTGTGCAAATACTGAAGAGGCCATAACCCCTCCTCTAGCGACTTCAAAACCTCAACTGGTCCTGTTCACATGAATGGATGTCGGTTGTTTTAACAGCTACTTGTTCATTACGCTTCGTATCTCTTTGACCTTTGTTTCAATAGGCTTTGTATCTTTTGTCTTTTTCTCTCACTCGCTTTCTAATCCAGAAAGCTGTTGCAAAGGTTGTTATTTATAAAGTGCTTTGTACCCTTTTTTTTTTTTAAAAAAATAACACAGAAATCAAACATATTAAGGGAGGAAAAGACATGAACTAATCAGTTTTCTTGGTTTATTTCTAAACATTGGACTTTATCTCAATACATATTTTTCCAGGAACCATCACAGCCAGACGATGTCTAGCAGGATTTTCCTCACTGAACAGCTTTAATCCATTCCCCGGGGTGCTGGAGGCCAGGCTGCCCCAGATAAGCACCACATAGGCACTTGGGCGGCTCCACAGAGTCAGCCGAAGTTGACCGCAGCTGACACAGAGCTACAGCTAAGTTCCCTGCTCTTTTGACTTCTCCTCCATAGTCCTCTACATCTCTTGCTCGAGCTCCTCCTGGTCTGGAGAGTTTATTAGCGCTGGAGAAATACTGGGCTTGAGATGACAGCGTGAATGTGCCCTGCTTTGGTATGGAAACAGGGGGAAGTCAGGACCAGGATCCCCAAAGCCTTCGTCAGCAGCACGTCAGATACCCCCAGGCTTCCTGGCTCTGGCTGGCTCTGCGCCGGGCCACTCACCTTCCTTACATCATATTTCTGATCTGGGTGCAGCGCTGGAAAACCCTGAGCTGCTTCTGGGCACATCCAGCTCGAGGCCAGGGTACGCTGGGGCGGGCTGCTGCACTGCGCGACAGCAGCTGCATTACTGCTGGAAACAAACGGCCTCTGGATGCTGTACAGCCGTATTCCCCAGTGCTGCATTTTAGCTACCAAGCCTAATGGCGATTCAAGCTGCTTTTTGTTGAACCAACTCTGGCGTAAAATATTGTCCTGTGACTGTTGAGAGGAAAAATGCTGGGAAGCCAATCTCAGCTTGTTTGTTGGTTTAATACACAATGTTGGGCAAATAACTTTAATATCTCTCTCCATTTACCCCATATATATGGGGTTTTATAATCCTGGAAAAAATGTGGTTAAGGTTATTGTTTATAAAGTGCTTTGAACCTTATTTTTAAAATAACAGAAATAGGAAGGGAAGAAGGAAAATCACCCAGGATCTTAGTTTATTTCCATGTGTTTGTTTCCAAACACATTATTTAAAAAAAAAATGAGCATGAGCTCCTGGTTCAGACAAGCAAACAAATCTACTATTTGGAAATGTTGGGATTTTTTTTCTGGCTGTGTTAGGCTCTCAGTGGGAACAGCGATTGTATCACCATCTGCTTGAGAACTTACAATTACATTACCAAGTATCCAGGCACGGCTTTTCAGTCATGCTTTATACAAATTGCGCACTTGAGCAGTGCGACAGGCCACCATCGTGAACTTTATTTCTGCGAAGGAGCCTTCCTCATGCTGGTGAGTGCATGCTGCCTGAATGTCATCTGCAAGTTCCTTCTAACGAAATCGTCGGCGTGGCCTGATGGTCCAGGGAGAAACCCAGCGCACGGAATGGTGTCCCCCTCCCAGCACTGGAGTAACTCGGCACCCTGAAGTGCTCTGCGCTGAGTGGTTCAGCTGCCCTCCATCACGTGTGGTTAATAAGAATTGCCACACTTTATTCACCTCAGGAATGAGATGAATCATAGCAATTCTTTTCAATTTATCTTCACTGAAGGGCTTCACAGGCTCTTGATCATTCTTGTCTTTCTCTTTTGAACTCCCTCCAATTCTTTGTACAAAACACATCTCAGATTCATTTTTAAGTGATTTTTTTTTTTTTAAATAACTGTGCAGTACAGCTTTTCTTTGGGGGATGGACCTGGAGCTGCATATTGGATCTGTAGTAGTTACTTTGGCTTCTCGACCTGAATTGCTTTTATTTTTTTAGCTACATTTGTGGGCTTACTATATGTTTATGAACTGACATAGGGGCAGTTTCATCAGTTTTAGCTGCTGAAAACCAACAATATTACTGTGCCCTACTTGATGCAGTCAGGGCATAAACATGAGGTGCTTAGGGACACGGTTTAGTGGTGGGATGGCAGGGTTAGGTTAACGGTTGGACTTGATGATCTTAAAGGTCTTTTCCAACCTAGACAATTCTATGATTCGATGATATGCAATGTTGACTAGGAAATGAACATCAACATCCTCTGAGTAACAGTTTTACTGAGCTCTCAGTGAGGGTAGTAGTAGATTTTTCTCCCTCAGAAAAGTTCTTTTATACTTCCTTTAAATACAAATAAAAAATAAAAATCTTCCGTAGGCGATCTGTCCAACAAGAGGCAGCCAGCTGAGGTTCCTGTGCAGGGAATTCAGGTTTAAAACCTTCCTCTGAAACCAAAAGCACATCAGGGTATCTCATGGATGCGTCCTCATGTCTGGGGTTAAAAGTCTGTCTCTCCTGCCCATAGTTCCTTCCTCGTGATTAATGGGCTCCAACACCCCCAAACTGGGAGCCCAAGAGAACCCTCACAGAGAAGGCACTGCAGCTTTATGGTGACAATATATAACCTGAGATATGGGAGATGCATCTTCGAATTCCTCTTCTGAATCAAGTAGAGTAGCGATTTCAGCCTGGATCTCCAGCGGACTGTAGCGGTGTTAATCTTTCTTTACATTTAATGCAAAATTTTGTCCTGAGAAGTTCTTCCTTAAATGTTGTCCAAACAGGTGTATTCTCTCTCTCTCTCTCTCATATACATTTAGTTGATGAGGGAATCCCTAACCAGGCCCCGTAATGAATCCCTGCAGGAGCTGCTGCTGGGTTTTCCCAGAAAACAAACGCTCTGTGCGAGGTTTTCTTGCAGTAACTGCGGCGTTACTGATCCTTGGTTATCTCCATGCAGACCCTGTGCTCGCTCCCTGACCTGCGAGCTGCAGGGAGCAGAGCCCACGCTCTATGGGTGGGAAACTCTGGGTAAAATGTCCTCTATTGGCTGAGGGAGGTTGCAGACATTTCCGTCCTTGGAGATACTCTGACTCAGCTGGCTGAGGTACTGGGCAGCTTGGTCTGACTGACCCTGTTTAGAGAGAGGGTTGGACCTGCAGTGGTCCCTGCTGGCCTCATTAATCCTATGATTCTTACTCAGTTTTCCATCTCTTTTTCAAACGGACAAACTCGCCCTCACGCTGGCTTGTTTTTTCATGAAGCGCCATGCAGCACTGCCACATTTATGCCACCAAGCACGCGGCGATACAAACGGCCTTGTTTGTTGATGTAGCGGATGTTTCTCCACAGATGCTGTGCCCATTCTTGGACTGACGGACCCAAGACTCTGCTACTTACTGGATGGATTCCTCTTCATTTACGCAATCGTCATGACAGCCCTTTTTGTGAGAGAGAAGGTCAGTCTATCCAGACACTGATGCATTTGGTTGTGGTGGTGTAAACACATTGGGCTTAGCTGGAAAGTGGGGGTGGAGAGGAAGCATGTCTCTTAGAATAAGACCTTCTCGGGTTTTTATTTTCTTTTTTTTGTTTTTTGAAATTTTCCTCCTTTTCCGGTGTCAGCCTGAGCGATCCGGGGGAGTTCTTTCTGAGGGCTCGCGGATGGAGGGGAAGAGAGTATATGAGAGTATTTTGATGCTACAGTTATGGATGCAGTCAGAGATTGTGGAGATTTTTAGCTGGGAAATGCCTGATCAACAGCGATGTGGTTTCTTCTGCTGCTTTGTCATTGGAAAGAGAGGAGGGGATACACAGACAATTCAGTATAAGCGCCAAGCTTGCAAAGGATGTATTAAAATGTCTCAAGAAGTCAGGTATCTTTGGTAGTATGAGTGTGATGATGGAAATGATAGAACCCCACCAACCACAGGAGCGGAGATGGGGGGGACGGGACAGGACGGACACAACTCGATGGGCTGTTGTTAACCTCCAGCAGCTGCTCAGCATCTAGGGAGACAGTGGCTTTAGTATGCTTCCGGGGAAGAGGGTCACGTAATGCGACGGAGGCATGTACATTCCCAGACAGGTACATGCTCTGAGAGCCCTGCTAATCAGAGGAGGGGATCTGTCTGCCTCTCCCCGGCACAGGCCACTCCAATGCAACGGCACTTTCAGAGAAGCCAAAGCAGGCCAAAAGGTGCCTTGGCTGCTGTCTGCACGGCTGGCTCAGCCTCCCCCCAGAAGCAAAGGGTTGCTGCGCTTGGCATCTTGGCTTGCTTCTCACCAGGTCGTGGCTGAGATCACCAGCAGGAGCCCTGACAGGGTGATGTCGTGCTGCTGGTGGTGCCCCACCAGCTCTTTGGTGGGATCCTTTCTCAGGACCGCAAAGCCAGTGCTGAACCCAGAGGGAGGGACGGATGTTTGGAGGAAATGAGCAGAACTCTGTAACGGCAAAGGAGAAACCTTTTCTGTTGCTGGCATAAATCCTGACTGCAGGTGCTGCTCTGGGACTGGAAAAGTCTTTTTGAGGCTGCTAGAGGGATGAGCCACTGGGGCACACAGAGGGTGCACCTCACCCAGTGCAGGGCGAGAGCGCGGCCGTTCAGGAGGGCTCAGCAAAGCATCCAAGGAGGTGCATGAAGAGGGAGCTGCCCCAGCTGCGGTGTGCTCACCAGCCTCTCTGCCTCCTCCACCCAGAGCATGTCTTAAGCGTGCTGCTGCGGTTGCAGAAACTTGTGTGGTTTCTCCCGCTGGGGCTCCCTGCAGGGGCAGAGCTGGAGCTGGAAACAGCTCCTGGTTGAAGGCAGCAGCCCTCACCTTTAGGTCCGGGAGCGCTCGGTCTCCTCCTGGTGTGCCCAGCTGTTTGCTGGCACCGTGCATAGCGTTCAGCTGCCACAAGTAAGCTGTTGCATGAGGGAAGGCAGCAGAAGGAAGGGGAAAGCCATGCCTGTGGTTACGCTGGAGTCTCGCAGCTGAAAGCAGCAGAAGCGCTGCAGCTGAAATGCCACCATAAAGCACCAAGAAGCTGGTGGGGCATTTTCCAAGGGGCCTCTGTCTTGTCCCAAACCTAGGACTTTTTTACACATCTTCAAGGCTGTGTCATATCTCTAGCCTCACCTTCTGGCCAAAGGAATTGTTTGTGGAGGCTTTTGCCAAGGGCACAGCCTCATCCCTGTTGTGAGCTTTTTATTTACGGACCACGTGGACGATGCATATGAACATTTAGGCTCAGTTGCAAGACACACGGGTTAGATGCTTGGTAGATTACTGGCCTGACCAAAGGTTCGGTTGTGATAATGGCACCTTCAGAGGGAAAGTGGTGGGGTAGGTAACTTGTTGTTACTACAAACATGATTTTAAAAAACAAGGCCAAGTTTATCCTATGCCTAAAACCAAGCCCACCTAGAAAGTTGCTTTTAATGACTTTATGTCCTTAAGACTTTAATGTATAATAATAACTCAAGATGGTTAAAGCAATACAGAATGTAGTTTGACAGTTTTTTGAATGGACTGGAACACAAAGTAGCTACTCTCACTAAAACTGCCCTTTTTTCCTGAAAATTTGCCTCAGCAACTAATTGCTCCTAAATATTGTGAGGAGCAGAGCCAAAGAGTAGCTGCAGAAGGGAAATCCTTTATGTACTTGTTCCTTGCCACTCATGCCAACTTACCGTGGTGGGACCGCAGCCCTGGTGCCGCTTCCAAGGGGTGTGGGGATCCCCTGTGCCCTCTGAAGCTGAGGACACCCAGGAACTTTGCAGGCAGCACTTCTGCTGGAGGACTGGGGTCCCGGCAGGGGGTGGTGGTGGTGGTGGTGGTGGGGGGTGCTTTTGGTTGTTAGCAGCACCAGATACCCGTTTTTTCTTAACATGGGCTGCAATTATGATTTTAAAGCCCGATGGAGCTACTTTCAATAGCACAGGATTATGACAAGCACAGAATAAGAACACAATAGTGGGAAGGGGGGGGCGGGGGAAAGACACAACCCAAACACAGATGCTTTGCGTAGCAGTGAACTGGTGTCACGTGCAAGTAAAATGGCCTGGCTGCTGAGAGCAACCTGGCGTGTGGATAGAAGCGCCAGCACAGCAGTGGCTTGTACTGCCTGTAGCCCCATTGGTGCCACAGGTTGGCTGCTTATGGGTTGTCCTGTTTCTGATGAGAGTAACTTTTAGGAGAGAGGGAACTAAAGGACTAAATGGAGCCACTGTCTCTCTGCTCATGGTATGGTCTCTCTTCCAGCTTAGCCAGGCCTCTAAACAACAGCTGCAACCAGGCCAGGATGATGTGTACAATGTAAGTAACTGATGGTTTTTGTTTGTTTTCAAATCTGCTACCCAGGCAGACCTTTCTGGGCACTTAGACATAGTGACTTGCCAGTGGATCAGAAAAAGTTGATGACCTAGCTAATGAAAGCAATATAGCCAAGCATGCAGCACAGCAGCTGTAAGGAGGAAAAATAAAACCTGATGAGGACGGCCTCTGTCGGCACTTGTCTGGCTGGATGCTAGATAGATGTATGGGCTGGAGGTTCCTGATATGGGCTGTAGCTTCCTGAATTGATTCACTGAGCTGAAGGTGTACCAGGAACCCAGACCATTTCAGAGGCAGCGCTTGCTGTGCTGCACCATGTAACACGCCTGCGAGAGCGCTGTGTGTGCGTGCAGCCACTGGACTGTTATATGTATAAATGTGCACGCCCCCAACGTCGCACCCAGCCCTCCCCAGTTGGCTTGCAGCTCTCGCTGCTCGCTGCTCCTCGGGCGAACAACAGCTGCAACCAGGCCAGGATGATGTGTACAATGTAAGTAACTGATGGTTTTTGTTTGTTTGTTTTCAAATCTGCTACCCAGGCAGACCTTTCTGGGCACTTAGACATAGTGACTTGCCAGTGGATCAGAAAAAGTCGATGACCTAGCTAATGAAAGCAATATAGCCAAGCATGCAGCACAGCAGCTGTAAGGAGGAAAAATAAAACCTGACGAGGACGGCCTCTGTCGGCACTTGTCTGGCTGGATGCTAGATAGATGTATGGGCTGGAGGTTCCTGATATGGGCTGTAGCTTCCTGAATTGATTCACTGAGCTGAAGGTGTACCAGGAACCCAGACCATTTCAGAGGCAGCGCTTGCTGTGCTGCACCATGTAACACGCCTGCGAGAGCGCTGTGTGTGCGTGCAGCCACTGGACTGTTATACGTATAAATGTGCACGCCCCCAACGTCGCACCCAGCCCTCCCCAGTTGGCTTGCAGCTCTCGCTGCTCGCTGCTCCTCGGGCAACTCACAGGCACGCTGCCACCCGCGTTGCCGGCAGAGAAAGGGCAAAGGCCTGGGAACGCTGCATTGCTGACTTTGGGCAACTGTAGCTCTTCTATCATTGAGCATCTGGAGCCTGAGTCATCGCAGCCCAGCTGTCTCTGTCCCCAAGCTTTCCTGTCGTCCCACAGCACGAGGCCTGTTGTGCCAGATCGTGCTAGGGGTGTACCTCGTCCGCTGTGCCCTGATCGTAGCCAGCATCAGATGGCTCTTCAGGCAGTGAAAGCAGGCAGGGGCAAGATCCTGTCTGTCCTTCCTAGCTAAACTGCTCACTCATGGCAGCGTTAAACTCCAGCTATTTTTGCTATGTCTAGTTGTCTTTTGATTTTAATTTTTTTTCTCTCACACTTTTGACCATAGCCACATCCTGTGATGACTTCTACTGTTTAACTGTGTAATGTACGAACACTAATGTGTTTTTTTCAGTTTAAGAAGTAAGCACTCTGCCAGCTGTTATTCTGACCTGAAATCTTTCCTTTGCCCTCTTCCAAGGTAACCTGTCCCAGATAAGAAACATACAATTGCACATACAATTTCTACAGCCACTTGATGCAAATTTAGACGAGCTGTAGGTGACGCAGAAGATTTTGTTGAGAGCTGCATTAAGGGCTAAAAGAATTTCTTGCTCTGTTACAATACTCATGAAGCTGGACACCAAACTGGGTTCATTTTCTTTTCCTGTGTTAAGTCACTGTTTCCTCATGATCATAATGTCCGTCCCTGCTTCTTGCTTTCTCCTTTCAGAAACTGTCCCGTGGACAGAGAGATGAATACGATGTTCTGGGGGCAAAGCGAGGTGCAGACTCTGAGTTGGGTGGGAGACACCAGGTAACTTCCTCCCACACATGCACCTTTTTTCTTTTAATCTGGTTCCTTCCTTCTCACATCTAACCGCTGTTTAGACATGCAGGCATTCATCACGCGTTTGCTAAGCACCAGTGCCTTCCTGGAGAGGCAACGGCAAAATCTGTGTAGTAACTCAGGCGGCTGGCAGCGTGGCGGGGACAAGAGTAAACCTTCCCCTCGCCTCCCCTTTGATCTTTGCCCCTTGTGCCCCCCCCCGTCACTTTGCTGAGAGCTCGCAGCCACCCAGAATAGGAAGTGACACCCAGCCTCGGGGCGGATGTGGAGCAGGCAAGGCAGGAGTGGGTGTTTCACGAGAGCTCGCTGCACGTGATGCTGCCAAACAAGCGCCAACAAAGTAAAGCAGCAGCCAAAACAACTGTTTCTGCTGCAGAGCCCAACAGTTTCAAAGGAAAAGGGAGGGGAAACCTTCTGCATCAGCATGTGGGGCTTGCCTGCAGGTGACAGCCGTAGGGATTGAGCAGAGAAGAGCTAAGTTTTATCAATTATTAAAATTAAACTAATTTTCCAGAGAACAGGTTGTCTTAACAGAGCCTTAGGGGGTGGAGGCAAGCTGGGCACTAATGGTATGGCATGTCCATCGAGCTGTAGCTGTGCCTTAGAGCAAACCCACAGGCCACATACAAGGTGGTGGGGGATGCTGGTAGGGCAACACATGGGCAACTTTCTTCTTTTGTTTTACAGCAGAGAAGAAAGAACCCTCAGGACACCGTCTACACTGTGAGTAGAGAGAGCTGGAGGGAGAGGAGAGGGTGGGAGGGATGGCTGGAAATAGGAGTTTCTATTTCGTAGGAATCTCCCCCTCTCTCCCCTCCCCCCCAATTTCAGCTTTGGTTCAAACATAACAACTGCTTTCAAAGACTTCTCTTCCCTTCCACACACCCCTTTTTTTGCTAGGAAATTTCTGCTCCCTTCTCTATGATAGGAGAAAAACATTGGCAGATGGGGAAAAGAATTTGGATCAAGGTACCTGCTGATCCCTCTGTGATAGCCATTAGTGAACTAACCAACTTCGTCCCACGCAGCTAATGTTGCAGTACTTTATGGGCTTGTCCTCCAGCCTCTCGGACTGCTCTCTGAAAAAGCCCAAATACCAGTGCACCTCAGCGTGGCTGCTTAGGAGCCTCTTGATTTAACTGATTGAACTCTGGCTAAATGTGGTGGTCTGTGCTCCAAAGGATAGATACATGAAAGCTAAAGCTCACGTCTTAACTTGGGTCCTTCTAGGTATTCAGTGCTTGCTGAGAAATGAGCTTGTTTCCAAGACTGGCCTTCATCGTTATTGAACCAGCTGGTCGTAAGCATTTGGGAACTGCTTCCCTGGATGGAGGAAGGAAGAGCTCCTCTTAACCTTCACCCTACAGTCTCTGGGCCTGAGCTGCAAGTTCGGGTTTGTCTCCTGAACAAATGCTGCTTAAAGCTTTGCTCTGGAGAGCTTTGATTGTAGCAGCTGGTGCCAGTCTAGATAAATGGCTTGGCTGAGGGCAGAGTTATATTCATTTAAGTCTTTGGAGATGAGGCGGTATTGATACATGAAGCAGATTTGATCATGGATAGCATCTACTTAAATGCACGTTGGTCAAGTCCCATCACTGTCCCTTCTTCTCTGAAATATATTGAGGCTCTGAAGGCAAGGCAGCCCCTGAAGCACAGGCTTGGCGTGCAGTCGCCCAGGGGCTGGCTTGGCTTTTCCGGTAACACGTGGACTCTTTCTTTCCCCCTCTCTGCTTGCAGTCACTGCAGAAGGACAAGATGGGCGAGGCGTACAGCGAAATCGGAATGAAGGGAGAGGTGAGTCCTACTTTCCTTCCTGGCGAAAGCCTGGGACGAAAAATTTTTCACTGCCGCTCCCTTACAGAGCAGTAGCCCTGCCCGCACGTAGCCGCCTGGCACAAGGAAGTCCCGGTTGGTGTTGCACAGCGCCTACAGGCACAGCTGAGAGCAGTTACCCATTTCCTGTCCTAACCCGGGCGTTTGGTGCAGCAGTAAGACACACGTGTAGCTGTAGCCTTACGGTGGCCACAAAACAAGGGGGAGATCAGACAGCGAGTTTTGTCCCACCGGTGTTAGAAACACAGCCTGTACACCAGCAGTGCCCCTGGGCAGAGTGAATAGTGTCAATAATTTCAACTTTTGGCCAGAAAAAATTCTGACAGCTGCCCCAGGAGGCAGAGGGTAGGAGATGGGTGAGGAATCATTGAAAGAAACATCTCGTTTCAAGCAGTGCAACGTCTGTGGCCTGGCAGCTCACATTTGTTGAGCACGTTCCTCAGAGCTGGAGGCTCACCGTCTCCCCTCTGCGGGCTGTTGAGGCTGGTCTGCTTTATAGGCACAAGTAAAAGCATTCGCAAGCTCCTCCTTGAGCCTGTCTTCAGAGATGTAACGGGGGGAGCAGTCTCCTTCCCCCACCTCCACTCTCCAATTCTTGCGAAGGAAGAGGTCGGTTACGCCTGAAGCTAGCAGCAGATGGATAGTTTTAGCTCTGTGCACAAACTGCTGGGGGAGGGAAGATTGTGTTGCAAAAAGACCCATCTGGGGACACTGTGGATGGCAAAATAAAAAATTGTTGCGGCCTACACAGGTTCTATTGTACATCAAAGTGTCTTAAATATAACCTTTCATTTCCCTCTGAAAAGTGGAAAAAGAAGGGCATTTCAAAACAAAGGTTAGTGCTGAGAAATGCTGAAGGAACATCGACATTTAACCCCCTCCCCTTTTTAATTATTCTAATGCCCATCTGCCACACTCAAGCTCAGTTTCCAAGTGATGAGTATATGAAGTCTTGATGTGTTTTTATGACCGTTTCTGTCACCCCCCATGCCCAAACCTTGACTCATTCTAGATATAGATAGATATCTATAGATAGATACAGATATCTATCTAGATAGAAATCTAGATAGATTTAACGGGCTGCTGCCATTTTAGTTGCGGCAGGCACGACTCTGCCACACGTTCATGAAATAGTTTGTGATACAGTCAGCGCTCTGCTGCCACAGGGCAGAGCTGACCAGTGGTGGGCTTGGCCATGCCAGCCTCCACCCAGGGGGCTGTAAGCTCTGCCGCACCCAGTTCTGGCCTGGGACTCTGGTGCTCAGCTTGGCTGCAGCCGCTGGCCGCTCCCCGTGCCCCTGGGGACGCAGCAGCAAGCGGGTTGAAGCAGGTGGGTTTTCTTTGTACCTGGCTGGTCTGAGCGACCTTGTTGGTATGCTCTGCTTGTATCACGACAGTCCCACTACCTATTTTACTGAATCCTGCGTGACTTTGTTCTCAGACAGCCTTAGCTGCAGTTCCTTCGAACATCTCGACAGCTTTACCAAAGTCGCGCTGAAGAATTTACTCTACTTACTTACACATGTCTGTCCAATAGAGGGCAGTACCTCAGACACCAGCAGGCATGCAGCAACTTGAAAAAATGCAGCCCCATTTCTTCCAGGTGTGCCTTCAGCGCGTAAAACAGTTGGCGTCTACAGGAACGTTGCTACATCTCTATGTATACAGTAAAACAAAGAAATAGCAGCATTATAACAGCATGACAGGAAAACGCATCAGCAAACCAAAATAATTTCCTTTTTATTTCCACTCCTCACTTCTCCTTCTACTGCCCCCTTGCAGCACGTCTGGGCTGGTCCAGCCTTAGTGGGTGCTTTCCCTCCTGCGCGGAGGGTGTCCAGGCCAAGTGCAGCGGCTGACCCTCAGTACAGGATGGGGAAGTCAGGGGTTTCTTTCCTTTTGCGTAATGGGAAAGGCACCCATTAATCTACGCTTCTTTTTCTTTCTCAAAGCAGCAGAGGCGGCGAGGCAAAGGGAACGAAGGTGTCTACCAGGTAGGTGACACATCTGGCACCCGCTCCCCTCATCTGTCTTCATGGCTTAACTGTAGCCTCTATTTACGTATCTCAGCACCCTGCTAGCGACTTGTGATGAAACAGAGCCTTCCGAGCACCTTTCTGGGGATAGGTACTCAGGCTCAGGGCAAAGACCACGCTGCGGGTGCTTCGATGAAGTGGCTGCATGTGCTAAAGACAACTGGCAGGAACGCTTGTTTAGCTGCTCTGGTAGGAACCACTTCCACAGTCCTACATCTTGGGACACCCACCGTTTGACTGCAGCGGGTGACGCATACGGTTCTGTCTCTGAATCGTCGATCACTTGAAGGGAAACCTTCAGGTTGCCGAACCGCTGTCATCACTCAGAGCGTCAGCGGTTCCGCCCAAAAAAAAATCCATCGTCTGGCATACAGAGCACAAACTGGCCAGCACCTCCCCTCCCTTGGTGCGCTGGGGGGTTTCAAGGAGCCCATCAGTAAAGGCCTTATTTGGGCCGCCACACATGCATAATTGTTCCAAAATGCATTTTACTTTCTGTAGAGGCCCGTTCATCATCACCAACATCTCAAAACGACAAAAATGCTTCCCGGGCTTTGCAGCCACGTGATGCCCCGCTGCCAGCTTACCCCAAGTTGCATCTGACTTCCCTTCCAAATTACAGAGAAGTCCAGAGAAGAAAGTTCATGAGTTGATGCCTGTTCATTCGGTTAGCAGACAAAGTTCACCCTAGCACTGGTTAGCTCTTGATAGTCACTTACATGCAAATAAAATGTACTCTAAAGCTCTGCATGACCAGTTCGGATGCGGATGCGTTGCTGTAGTCATGCATTCGTAACGGCTATTCAGAATGCATCTTGCCTTCAGGTAAGTGACAGCTATCGCCACCATACAAAGACTAAGGAAACACTCAGGAGTAAAAACATCTGAAGGGGAAAAAAAAAAAAATATTAAAATTATGCTACTGAACCCCTGCCGTCCTGTTCCCGCCCAGCCAGCTCAGGAGAAGCAAGCACTCACGCTGGCACCTCACCTGTTTTTCTCTTTTTCAGGGACTCAGTACAGCGACCAAGGACACTTACG